CGCAGGGCATTTGGTACCAGGCCGCACAGAAAGAACTTGCCTTAATTCCGTTTTATTTATTTCGGAATACGAAAGATGTTTTATTTTGAAAAATTAACGGATTCTCCGTTACATCCGTCTGTGTCACGCTTGACACATGTCAAACCACGATTCTCCGTCACATGACCGATTACGCTAAAAACAAAACGCCGGAGCTCGCAAAATGAGTAAAAAAACTGCTGGAGATCGCAAATGACGGCGGCCTTAAAAGTACGTTCGAGACAACTGGATAAAAGTTATGGCTGAATACTCGGAGCTCGCCACAATAGCACTGTTGCTATTTCCGACATCCTACCTGTGTGAGGCGGGGTTCTTTTGCAGCAACGGCGACTAAAACAAAATTACAAAGTAGACTGGACATAAACCACACACTTGAGGTGTCATTGTCTCCTATTACCCCGAGATGGGACCGTCTGGTTGCAGAAAATCAAGCTCGGGGCTGTGGCACGTCATCATTTTCATGCACTTTGAATTTGCATTGTATCATATTTTGAAGGCATTAAACATTACCATAGCGATCAGAGTGTTGCGGCCAGATTAGACACTCCTTGTGTTTATTATTATATTTCAAAAACAACACAGTTTTCATGCAGCTCATATCATATTATTTTGTTGTATTATTTCCGCCACACCTTAAATGCCGGTCCCTGAAAATATTGTCTGACATAAACCGGTCCGTGGGGCAAAAAAGGTTGGGGAACCCTGCGCTAGAGAATGGATGGATGGATGGATTCCCATGGGAAGGGAGTCAACATTACCTTCAATCTTGGTTTACGGGAGCTGAGGGGAGCGGATTTATCCAGAAGGAGAAAAAAAATGCAGCCTATTTTAATGTGGCTGACCCCAAATAAGAGTGGTACATGAGTGGGTGTCATTCTCAACAGTAGCAGGATGAAAGTGGGAGTTGTTTTTACCGGGGGAGCTATGGGACGGGGACGGGACGGAATATTTTTTGTGAGAGTGGGATGAGACACTCCCGTGTCACACTCTGATCTAAAGCAACAGGCCACCAATGAAGTTTACCACAATTGGTGATATCAGTGCCTAGTGCAGTAGCATTTTTTTTCACTCCGAGTAGGACTACAGATTTCCATCAACACAAATACTGACACTGGTATGGGTGCATCGCTGTCACCATGATGCATCGTGAGAGACGCTTTGTAAGGCATTAGCAACTGTTTATTGAGGATGTCAATTTGAAGAGGAAATGAACTTTCTGGAGTGTCAAGCCAAATATACAAAATGTGTACTGAAGTGATTGACATGTCGAAACACATCAAATGTTACTTTTGAGTAACCCAATCCAGAACGGTCATACTTTAGCCAAGCGAAACATCAAAGTCAGTCAAGTGTTTAAAATATCCATCATTGACTGAATGTTTCTCCCAGATTTCTCTCACGAGCTGAAGAACACAATAAAGACTTGCCAGATAACTGATTGCTACTCGAGCCATCGGATTTCTGCCAGAGCATAGTTCAAACACTCATGCACAGGCAATGACCAAAATTCCAAGACAAGATCTTATTTCAAGTTCAAGCACCATTTCACTATTAAAAATCACATCATACCCAACCAAAATATATATA